TTATTGCTTTTGATTTGCAGATGATGGTAGAGAATATTCTTCTTTGAGAGAGAATGAGATTGAAAGGAAAGAAATTGGATTAGAATGGATGCTTAAACCTGCATGTAAGCCTGATAAGAAACCTTCAGAGCCTGTTGAACAACCTGAGGAGCCTCCTACTGAGGAGGTACAACACTTGTGCTATTATTATAATGTCTCTTTTCCCCTTTTATTTTTTTTGACAAATGCTTGCTGCCGGAGATATAATTTTTTTTACTTTAAAGCAAAAGAATATCTTATCAGTTTTTAAGTTCCTTTCGTGTTTGGGAAAAGATTCCTACTCTTTATATGAGGATTTGATAAGCTTCATTCTCTTGTATATTACTGAAAATTGCTTTAGTTATGTTCCACTTAGGAGTGTTCGAAGCAAGTTTGATTGTATATCATGATTCATAGATGCATGGGTTATGCATTCTTTAGTTTCTGCCTTTGTATTTTATGAGTGTATGAATTTTTAGGTGACAATAGTACAAATACTTTTACCAGATAAAGACGATGCATCCTAGAGAGTTGAATCCATATCTGAAAGATAATGGAACTGGTTATCCAGAGGAAGCCGATGAAAAGAGAGCTGCTGCTGACAAGCTTTTATCTTCTTCAGTTGTGGGGGATGGAGGTGCTAGTTGGAGACTTAAAGCTTTGAAGCGTGCAGAAGAGCAAGCCGCTCGAGAAGGACGAAGCATTGAGGAGGTAATGTTTCTGCAGTCTTTACTAATCTTCAGGGAAAATTGTATCATGGAAGGGTGCTGTTCTTTTTACAGTAGAAAGCATGATTCAATTAGCCTTTACTGTCAAAACTATACAGGTTGTGCTAGAACGTTGGGGTTCTCTTGATATATTGGCGGAGTATGGAGCATCTCGTAGAGCTGCTGCACCTCGAGCCCATCTGCATGCTATAAGAAATAGAAAGCAGGGCCCAGATGATGAGAAGAAAAATGTTGCAGACAATCCGAGTGAAAGAAATTCTAAAAGGGTACTTGCAATGACACCTAGCTCGGTTCACAATATGTTAGTTTAAATGAACAAAAAGTAATGCTTGCACTCCAGTAATCAAGCAACATTAGATGTTCTAATCTTTCCTATGGTTTTGATTGCCAGAACACTACTCGAGACTATCTGCGGGATGTATCTCTTCGACATTCTGAGATGAGGGCCCCAAAAGTCCGTGATTCATTATCTTGGGGAAAACGAAAACACCAAAATAGTCCTGCTAAAAGTGCTGTTGCTACATCAACTGCAAATAAGTTTACCGATGATGGAAATTTCATGCAAGAATTTCTTCATAAGCAGGGGAATGATGCTATTGCATCTGGTTCACATGCAAATGATGATGGAAATGTGGTTTCCAAAGTTATAGCATCAGAGACTAACGAACGTAGTGAAGCTACTTCAATTTCAAAGGAAACTTTGAGCATAAATCAATTGGCAGCTAAGGCTTTGCAGCTTCAGTTGAAGGGAAAGCATGAAGAAGCTGAGAAACTTCTGGTAAGACAACTTCTTGCTTTCGTACAGTACATTGATTTAATTGAGGAGTTTATTGATCCAATGCTTACTGATATATATCAAAGTTTTGTTATTGCATTATTTAATAGAAAGATAATCTGAGGCAAATCCTCACATGTTGAGATTATAACGGTCAAATGTTTTCTGGATCTTGAAAGTATAGTTAGTTAAAGCCTTTTGTTGAGGTGTACTACAATCTGTTGTCTAGGTATTAGAACCCTGTTTAACTTTACAGAACTAAAAAGTCGTAAGTTTTAGTTGTTTCCATATACACCTTATGCATTAAATAACTTGGAACATTGCTTTTCTCTCCTATTTAAAGTTTTAAGTATGGGGCTTAAGTTTTTCTATGGTTAATGTAATTTGTTTTGGTGGTTTGTTTTTTTTATTAGCTGGAAGTTGAGAACTTGAAGGCTAAGCAGAGCACTGGAGATCATGCCACTAAGCAGCAGAATGTTGACAACATACGCAGGTAATTTTTCATCTTTATATTTCATTGGTATTCCCAATTCTGAAACTTCTGTTTCAAATGAGCTTAATGTAGTGAGCTTATAGCTCCCTAAGAGACTATCATTCAGTATTTCAAACGTAGTAAATTGCAAAGTGTTTAGTCTTTCTTTTCAGTGACTTTTTTAATAAAGTAAAAAAACGAATTCCCTTCTGTAACGTTGCATTCTAACTTCCATTTCAATATCCTTTTACATTTTTTCCCTTTGCATCTTACAAATAATTTCTCTTCGGATAATAATTTTTTTATTTTATCTAGATTTGTAGTTCATGATGAATCGGTTAGGAAAGGGAAGGATGATGATGATTCTGATAGGCATCTAGCCCGAAGAATAATGCAGAACAAACAATTTAGTTTATCTGGTCAGGCAGATGATGAATATGACTATGAAGATGGTCCAAGCAGGAAATCCCGAAAGAAGGGCGGGGCAAGCAATCAGAAGGTCTCTGGAAACAATCATTTGGCTAGGCGTATATTGACTCAGCAAGAGCGCTGTCTGTTCTGCTTTGAGAACCCCAACAGACCAAAGCATCTTGTTGTTGCTATAGCGAATTTCACATACTTGATGCTGCCTCAGTGGCAGCCTGTTGTGCCAGGTCACTGCTGCATCTTACCAATGCAGGTACTCTGTCTATGGTGTCTTCATCGATCTCTTTGCTTTAGTGCTTAAACGTTAACTACATCAGACTTGTTATAAAATGTGATCTTTTTAACTGCAGTTCATGGCTTTAAAGGATTTTAGTATTATTAATAGGGTCTTTCCATTTGCATTTCATGCCACCTAACCTAAATAGTATTGATTTTGATATGTGAAGCATCATGATGCATTGATTTTATGTGGGCTATACTGTTTGGTGTATCCTTATTCAGAATGCAAACTCTTTTTCCCTTGACAGCATGAGTCGGCCACGAGAACAATCGAAAATAATGTGTGGGATGAAATTCGCAACTTCAAGAAATGCTTAATTATGATGTTTGCCAAGCAAGATAAGGAGATGGTTTTCTTGGAAACTGTGATGGGATTGGCACAACAGCGTCAACATTGTATGATCGAATGCATTCCTGTGCCACGGGAAATTGCAAAGCAGGCTCCAGTGTATTTTAAAAAGGTAAGGTTCTCTATTCATTATATCTATTGACATTTGTGTCCAAAATAGTTCACATTACAATTTGTAACACCGGTGGTGGAGATAGCGCCTTCTGTTGTTTGTGACATATGAATTTGGTTAAAGATTTAGTTAGCTGAGTAGCAATAAGTTATTCATTTTCATGTTATAATATATAGTTCAAATGCATTCGTTTTCTGTGTGATTCGAAGACAACTTTCTCAGGCAATTGATGAAGCCGAAGATGAGTGGAGCCAGCACAATACAAAGAAGCTGATATTCACGAGTGAGAAGGGATTGCGCGGTTCAATCCCAAAAAATTTCCCATACTTCCATGTTGAATTTGGTCTAAACAAAGGGTTTGTTCATGTTATTGATGATGAAAGCCAGTTCAAGAGTAGCCTTGGCCTCAATGTTATAAGAGGTATGCTACAATTGGCAGAGGAGGACATGTACCGGCGTCGGAGGCACCAATCTGTGGAGGATCAGAAGCAGGCTGTCGCCAATTTTGCTCGCAACTGGGAACCTTTTGACTGGACAAAACAACTCGACTAAATTGAAAATTCGACCATGTGTAATTACATATGCAAAAAAAAATCCTTTAAAATTTTATTTTAGAACCTTCAGAATATTTATTCTTAGATTAAGATTTTTCATGGAGAATTTATTCCTGAGCCCAAAACCCCGCTTTCTACGTACATGAAATAGGGTCACTCTCTTTTCTTCTGATTATGTCTTCAATTACTATGACGCTACGAGGCTCTGGGTATTTCTTGGATTGTTTGAAATCCTTGAAAGTGCCGTACTACATCATCCATACCAAATGTTTAGAGGAATAAAATGATCGTTTCATATTATAAAATAGTGAAAAAATTTGTTAAGTTCAAGGACCAGTTTATTGTAGTTTGTTAAGTTTAATGATTATTCTGATAAAATTTAATGACTATTTTATAACTTTTGAAACTTTAGTGACTGAAGGGATCATATCAATATAGTTTAGTGGTCGCTTTTGTACTTTACCCAAAAGTTAAAAGGAAAAATTAATAAATAATGCTAAACCAAAACGATTATTGCAGGCATTGAAGCTTGGGTTATTGTTGTTTATAAGTAGCGGTTGGCATTCAAGTGACAACCATGCACCGTGGTTCCTTGGAAAAACTGTGGACAAGAGCTGAAGATGAAAGTTTTCAGGTCTATTTTCAGAAGCACTAATTTTGTTGACCATTGAAGGACGAACCTTTTTACGACATTGGTAACTGAATTAAAATTGTCTTAGTTTTGCGATTAAAATAGAAACACATCAATAATTGTGTAATTTATTCAAATATTATAGAAACTAATTCAAATCTGAAAAACTTAAGAGCCCTACTATTTCTTACCCAATTTAGTTTCCAAGTCAACAATAAATATAATCCTTCTTTTTTTTATCAGGAGAAAAGGCTCCTTTCTTTCCAAGTTGCTCATAATTTAGATCTCTTGGTTGCATTCTTTTTCTTCTTTAAATTAATTTTGTATACTAAATTAAATTTTCAATTATTCATTTCTGAAACGAAGCATATAATGACTAATTAGTCCATGTACCCGACAAGGAGACAACAAAATACCAAATCAATAAACAATTTTAAAAAATCAAACAAACGAAAATTAACATTTGGAAGGAAATTTTCAGACCCATCAAGTATCAAAATTACTCAGACTAGAAAGACTAATTTTACATCATTAATTCTGTCCATATCTTGGTACAGATGTTAAAGAGTTTACGGATATTCCAATTCGAGGCCAACAAACAAAACACACAAAAAGGGAGGGGCCACACCATTGGGCTAGAACATGATATATATATATATATATATATATATATATATATATATTCAACTAGATACTACTTGCGTTTAGCTCTCTTTTGACCCCGACCCCTGCCTGCCGGAATATCCTTTGATGTGCTTGTGATGTTCTTTGCAGCTTCTTCTTCACTTTCTTTACCATCGCTTCCACTATCATAGCTCTCTGTTTTATCAGTAGATTCTTCCTCATCCACCGAAGCTTTTCCTTGTTTCGAGAGCTGATCTCGATGCTCCCTGAGTTTTGCCTTCTTTGAATTCAACACCCCAAGGAACTGGAGACAGGAGAAAAACCAATTCAGTCATAATGTCGGAAGAATGAAATGAAAAACTGACAATAATCTTGTATGTGTTCAAAGTAGATGTGGTAAGGAATACAATTTTGATACTAAAAGAGTCCAAAGAAAAGAGTCAATTAGGGAAGACTTCCGACAAACGGCCTACTTTCTAGCAGATAACATGGGATGTTCTGATACAGTAACATATTCATCCTTACTCTTCTAAAGCAAAAACTCAGAGATTTCTTCTTCACCACCTAACCGGATAATAGCATCAAACGGGCATATCAACTGGAAGTACTCATAAATGTTTGAAACCTGAGGGAAATTGACAACATGATAACACCAACAGAAAACTGGCAGCCCAAGGAAGACTAATAGAACATATATATCAGATATGTCTGGCCATGTTGCTTGGCTCCCTAAACTGTTGGAGCAGTGTGGATGTTCACAAGTCGAACTCATCATTCTAAAATAAGGATCCCATTCCTCTCAAATTCACTAAAATGACCAGAGAGGTCAGTTCATTCTTCAAAATTTGAAAGTACCTTTATTTTAACACTAGCTTTGCAGTAATTATCAATGGTTAAGATTTTTCTTTGAAGTTTTACACACAAAACACAGTTTTAACTTGTAACAAACATAATACACTGTTTTTACTAAAAACAAACGCAGCTCTCCCTGATCTAAAATTGGCTAAGATTTATAGGTGATGGTTTTTCAGATATCTTCTTGCTAGTATGGTTTCCCATAATAGCAAAGTCAGATAAGATCCAATAAGCAAAGAAAAAAAATTAGAATCAAATCAAGATTCAGTTCAGCTTGATATATACTCTAGAATTCATCAAGAGATCAAGAAAAAAAGAGCTGAAATATGAAAAGGAAGAGTCCAATACAAGAAATATATACAATGTAACAACTGAACCAAACAAATGTTATTTATCAACTATATTGCTCCATCGAGAAATTACCATTCCCAAAAAGAGAACATAAGAAAAAAAACTGAATAGAAAACAAGAAGATGAAGGCTCCGTCCTAACAAATACTCATCCATCTTTGTATTCACTTTAAAATTCCCTTATTTCATTAGCTTGCCTTCAAAATAACAGAATGGCTTAAACATGGAGAGGGATGCAGAGGACTAATTGAAATGGTTGCTCTTAATCATTTTACTCTGTTAAAACAATTAAAAACACAAAGATTTTGCATTTGATTATGTGGATGGGCTGACATGAACATGCTAAATATTTTAGTAGCATACCTTTGCATAGATTTCTGATTCAAATTCCATCTTCTCATTAGTAAATCTCTGACTTTGTTCTAAACATTTCTCAGCTTCCACTTTTAGCTTCTTTAAAGATTGAGTTTTCCTAACCACTTCTTCCTGTAAAATTCTCAATAATTAATTATCTCCCAACAGTATCATTAAGACATAAAACTAAATAATTAATTAACAAACAACAAAAAGCTGAAGAGCTTATGATTGAACTAATGGAAGCAAAAGCGATAAGAAAATAAGACATGGAAAAAAGGGAAAAATACTACACTTAGACTAATGTTTGCATCCATAAGAAAATCCAGAATTCCTGCAGTAATCTTTTGGCTATCAGGCGCCAGCTGGAATTTCCATCGCCATTCAAGCTTAGTTCCTTCCTTCTCGAAAGTCCATGAAAGCTGCAACAACAAGATGAGAATAAAATTAACACATCATACGAGTTTGAAATTTATCAGTTACTATTGCATTTTATACCTCTGTTACCAGAAGTGAATATTACCCCCAACAATTTTAGAATTGGTACACACTATCTCAATTAAGGAATGCTGGCGTTTCACAGCTATTGAATTACGTTTCATATATAAGCAGTGATTTTCCTTCTAATTTTCTTTCCTTGTACCTCCTGGTAACATTATTGTATACTCCTAAGGAAAAACAAATTCAAATCAAATTCTTCTAATTTCAAATTCATAGAAAAGGAAACGCTAACTCTTTTGTGATCATCGCCGGCGTCAACGAACCGGTAGACTGAACAGGGCTGTTGAAACCCTAAATACCGTTCGGCTAATTCAATATACTCAGCGACCGGCTGGTCCCACTGAGCCGCTCTTTCCTGCACTTCCTCCTCCGTCGCTGCCACAAATTCAAAAATCATTTAACTAAAAATAGAAGATATTCGTATCAAAATCGGGGGAAACTTTGTCAAAGAGGCGGAGAAGTACCGTTGCAGACCCAAGCGCGGAGGCCGTCGGTGACGGAGAGATCGAAGTGTGTATCAAACCACGTGCCTTTTACGAAGAGCGGATTGGTGCTCGGGATTTCAAGCTTGAGACAACTGTGTCTCGCCGTTTCCGTTGCCGTTGAGCTGCTTTCCATTGCTTTGGTGGTTAAAGAGTTTAGTTCATTTCTGTTTGTTTCCAGATGGCCTTTATGGCGTCTTCCCGCTCTCTTCGCTGGTGCTTTTGAAAAAGCAAAAGGAAACTTGCTATGCAATCTTTTATTTACCTATTTATTTTTTATTGGAAATTTTTGCAACAAGAAAATTTTCAACAAAAAAATAACTTTTAAGTCGACATTAGGATCCTAATGTGATATTTTGGGCCCATACAGATTTAGAATGGTATGAAAACAATTTTTTTATCTTTTTTTTTCTCTTCTTAAATTTAGATCTAAACTCGATTTTTGCAACAACAAAAAAAATAAATGATCAAATGAAATAGATCTAAAGAAAGGGGCTTTGTATTACCCCTTAAAAAATTTTGTCATCCACAACAATTACAAATATTAGAGAGTTTCTTTCTAAAGAAAATCTTTCAGTCCCCTAGGGTTTAATTGTTTTTCTGTTTACAAGAATCCCTTTGAGTTTTTCTCTATTTTTTTCACTTGTTCTCTTCTTTGATTTTTGTTTCAATTTTTTTTATTTGTTGGTTGCTCTCTTGATTTTTTCTAGGTGATCGAAAAAATCCCTCTTTAATTGTGGAAGGAGGCCTTCACTTTTATGGAGGCCAAGAATTTTCCTTTAGATCGGAGGAGAGTGTCTCAGAGGTAGTGAAAGAGGTCGATTGTGGTGTCAGAGGAGGTAGACGATAAACATGAGTAGCTAGGGTATTAATGGGATAATTAATCCTCTCAATTTTTAAGATATTATTAGATTATTTGATTGACTCGATCGAAAAATCGATAGCAATTTAAAACTTGACAGTGATTTGACGCTGGACACTTAGGCCTTTGGTGATAGTTGACTATTAGGAGGCGTTTGGATGGGGAATGTGAGATTCTCCTGGGAATGGAATCTACATTCACTCGTTTGGTTTGGCAAGAAATGTCATTTCCGGTAATGTATTATTACAAATAGTAGATTTTTTGGGGTATATTACCGGGAATATCATTACCTCCATTCCCTTAGGTATTGTAACATTACCGGCGTTTTGGACTAAAATGACCTTAAATATTTATTTTTTTTCAAAAATATCATTCTTCTGTCATTGAATAATAAAAATTTTACGAAGATTAAATTATAAATTTATCCTTAAATTATTTTAGATTTACAAAAAAAGTCTATAATTAAATTTTTATATGAAGGTCAGGGATTAAAATAAAATTTTACCATTTCATTAAACATTTTTTATATTTTTAATTTTGTAAAAAAAATTATATAAATATTATGAATTTAAATGTTTTAAAGAAAATGTATAAATATTTTCTAACTTGTAATATTATACAAATATATAATAAGGACAATTTGGTCAAATATACATTTCAATAATCTTTTATTCCTTTAACCAAACATGGTAATCTTACATTCCTGCTAAACCAACCAAACACAAAATACAACATTCCCAGTAATCCTATTCCCTGGTAATCTTTTATTCTCACTGGTAATCTTACATTCCGTGAACCAAAGGTACCCTTAGGTGGTGTTTGGTTCGCATGAATGTTTATGAGAGAATTGGAATCTGTGAAGGAATTGGAAACTGTCAGGAATTGGAATCCAATTCCATATTTTGTTTGGTTGGAATGAAATAGAATTGGAATCCAATTCCATATTCTGTTTGGTTCGCAGACATGTCAAATGAATTTAATTCCAGTAATATAAAATGACAGAATTGCCCTTCTTATTTTTTTGGTTTTATTTTAGTTTGTTTTACAACTTACATGTAGTAATGTATTATAAAAAATTAAAAAGTGTTAAATTTTCATTTTATTGATTGATTATTCATTTCAATAAATTATAAAAATCATGCTAATAAACATCATAAGTTAAAATCATCGCAATCAAAATATGTTAATAAGTTACCAAAAGATAGAGCAAAATTTCGATACATTCCAATCGGAGTATGTTAATTAGTTATCAAAAAATATACCAAAAACTATTTTTATTCAATATATGAATTATAAACCCGATCCGACACGACACAAAATAATAATAAAATTATTTTTATTTAATAAAAACATTGACTTAATTGGAAAAAATTATATATAGAGGGTATTATTGTAATTATTCCTAAATATATAAGGTAGAATTATATATTTTTTCGGGTCGGTCCGATTTTTTTCACCCTAAACCCGAACCCGACCCGACCCGAATATATAAATTAGAAATCTGACCCGACCCGAAATAATAAAAAATTATTTTTATTTCATAAAAACAGTTAATTGAAAAAAATATATAGAGGGGTATTATTGTAATTATTCCTAAACATATAAGGTAAAATTATATTTATTTTCGGGTCGGTATTTTCACCCTAAACTCGAACTCGACCAAACCCGAATATCACACTTAAAAAACGACCCGACCCGACCAAAATAAAGTTTCACCCGACCCGACCCGAATATATGAATTAGAAATCCGACCCGAAATAATAAAAAAAATATTTTTATTCAATATATGAATAAATTACCAAAAGATTGATTAGGGTAGTATGGTCAAATTTCAATTCCCTCCAACAAGGGAATTAAATTCCATCTATTCTTGGATGGAATTCACTTTCCCTCATTTGATGGAAAGTTGAAGCCATGAGGGATTCCAATTCCCTTGGAAAACTTGAACCAAACATGGGAAAGTTGTGGAATTGAATTCCAATTCCCCCAATTCCATCCAACCAAAAGCCAACTTAAGTTTCTCAAACCCTAATTTTAATGTTAGACAAAATAAGGTTTGAGGTCCGAGTTTTGTTTTGGTTCAAGGTTAGCCTGCTAGATCTGCAGCGGGCTTGATGTTAGGCCAACTGGATTTAATAAAAAAGGTAAATGGTTAGATGATTCAGTTTGGACTAAAGATTCAATTGGATTTTAGTTTGATCTTGTATTTGGATTTTTAAGATTTGGATATTTAATGATTATATTTGGGTTTTATTATTTTTGGGTAATTGAGAATTGGTTTTATGTTTCAATTTTTCTCTCTCTCTCGAATGAGAATAAAAACATTAGCAAGTAAAGTATCATCCTAAAATTGGATTTTAAAATTCGAGCTACCAAAACCAATATTCAACCAATTCATAACATTTGAGATTCGGTTTGAAACTCAAGATTTAAACAATTAGATGTCTAAGCAATTCACTTTCTAATGTGTAATTAATAAGGACTCCTAATTGATCTTCAATCACCTTTAATTCGATTTAATTTATAAATTTATATATTTTATTATAAAATAAAACTCAAATCTGACACAATGTATTAATTTATATAAATTAATAATATACAAATTTGTAAATTATCAATGCATAAAAATAAATCCTTATCGAAAATAGTTGTATTGGTGAAAATAATTCCTTCACTAAAAAAACTCTATCAAATTGCCACCTCTAAATTGACTAGTAGTTTCAAGGGATGGATGATGATAAGATTAAGAGGTGATGGTCAGCAATCATAGCCGTTGGTACTTATAATCTAAGGACGATGGACCAATAAAACTGATCAATCATATGTATTTTTACCATGGAACATGACTCCTACGATAAAAAATTAGTTGACCCCTATTCCCATATGTAATAGGGTGAGGGGGAGGTAAGGTAGTAGGCTGCTCCCAACGCCAGGTTGAGAGCATCAGAATTATGAATTTCCCACCGTGAGACTCGATCCCACAACCACAAGATTAAGAGACTTACGCTCTACCAACTGTCTTAAAATGCACCCTCCCTTTACTCCACTATTTGCTCTCCATTTCTTCTTTCTCCACACCTAATTATTTTCATTGTTTCACAGCTCACCAAAGCTCGCCTTTGGACTCACCTCATCTATAATTGCCCCTATCTTCTCTTAATATCACACTTAACCTAATAATGAATAATATTAATTCGAATATGTATTTGAAATGCATAGGTTTATTATTTTTGATAAATTACTAATTTAATATTGAATTTTCTTATCACTCTTATTTTACTCATTGGACTAAATTTAATAACTTAACTTTATTTATTAAAATTTTCAATCACCCTACCGTTTTCTTCTTAACTATGTGATAACATGGCATATTTCACAGCCCAATTGCTTGTTTTCCACTCATTTGTCTCCATTCTCCATCGCCTATTTGTTGCTCGCCAATCTCACATCCATCCTCTTTCATTTCGGCTTCAGCGACCATAGTCGTTATTCTCCACCACACTCACTCTTCCACAACGCAAACTTGCACTTTGCTCTGTGTACGTTTACATCTACCCACCTAAAATCATTACTCAAACCCTTCGTCTACTCCTCGCTTCAGGTTTGCTCCCAAAACACAAAATTTCCAAGTCTCATACCTTTGCTTCTAGTAATCCAAGCTCGTTCTTTCGGATTCTCTTTATTTAAGTTTAGGACATCAAGGGCAAAGCATTATAGCAACATAGACTTAATAGTCTGAAATGATAACAAGCTTGAAAGTGGCAAATCCATTCTCAAACCACGCATCATGGTCATGAATGGAGAAGAATATCCCCATGCCAGTTACAATCCAAATCCATACGCTTACCATATAAAGAATAACTAGTTCAACATAGATGAGATAGAGGGAAAAGGAAAGAATAGCGATATTGCGGTGAAGAAGGTGATGAGAAATACCTAAGTCCTAACCATGGTTGGCATGTTAGAAGAGAAGAACCCTAAGGAACCAAAATAACTCCCTAGGGTTCCATGCAAATGCTTTGAGCTCCACATCCATTCATGGAGTTACTACTAAATGCAAAAAGTCAAACACTAGTTATGGTTTAATGAAAAAAGCAGCTAATACTTCCAAAAGTTTAGTCACTGTGGATTTACAAGTAGATACAAGTGTTAGTAAAACATTACCTTCCATTTCCCTAAGGGAAGACGGTGTTTACTTCACACATGTTATAATAAGATCTAAAGTGACGTTTTCAGAAAAGAGAAAGAAAATACTTTTAAAAATATGACTACATGTTCTCCTAGTATCTAAATCCCTATGATTAAGGTGGTGTTTGTTTTCACTGT